AGAGTCACCAAAGAAACTAAGCTATACACCCATGACTACGAATTTTACGAAGAACCAAAACAACCAGGATGACGTTTTCCCGATAATCGGAAGTATAGGGAAGCAGTGGGAGCACTTTTATATTTAGCAACAGTATCAAGACCTGACATAGCGAATTCTGTTGGAATACGTAGCAGAAAAGTTTACTTTATAAGTTACTACCCGTAGTTTCATATCATAATACAGCTTTTGTTTCCTTTGTGCTACTTCAGTGTTCTTTTTTGCGTCTATAATTAATTTTTCTATATCGCCCATTTTAAATTCTGGGGCTCTTTGTTGAACATAAAATAATTTAGCTAACGGCGTTATAATCTTTCTGCCTAAAATAACTCAGCAGGAGTTTTGCCCGTCGTATCATGTTTTGCGGTCCTAAGGGCGAAAGCTAATTCATTGACATAGTTATCCCAGCTTTTATGAAAATTTTTAACATAACTAAGGATAATTTTCACTATATTTCTATTGACCTTTTCCGCTATATTTGATTGAGGCAGATACGGGACCATTTTTAAATGACGTATGCCCAGTTTTTGGCACATGTCTTCAAATATATTACTTACAAATTGAGGACCATTATCCAATATAACTTTTAGGGGCGCCCCGTATTTTAAAATATATTTATTTAAAATAGAATCAGTAACTAATTTCGCGGAGGCTCATTTTAAGGGAACAATTTCGGTCCACTTACTAAAATGATAAACCATAACAAGGAGATACCGACTTTTATTTAACTGACTTTTCGGGAAAGGGCCCAATAAATCGATACCAATTATTTCATTTGGAAATTCCGATTTAATGCTATTTAGAAACCCGGCGGGGCGGAAATTAATATAATTAACTGCTTGACATGTTGGGCAGGACTGGACATACGCCCTTGTTAACTTTTGCAGCTCAGGAAAATAACTGCTCTGCTCCGCGTACGCGTTGGATGTTTTTTCGAATACCAGCATGAGAAGCTAAAGGGGAGTCGTGCAACTCCTGCAGTATATTTAATCTAAGACTAGCTGGGATAACAGGTCGAAATTCGTTGCTGGAATTCGTAGTTTTTGTATAAAATAATAGACCATCTATTAGTTCGTAATGGGCCGCCCTATTTCTTATCGCCACAATATCTTGGTGGCTAAAATTTCAGGATCTTTTAAATAATCATAAATATTTTTAAATTCCGGATCCTTACCCAGTTCGGTTATTACAGTTTCTCAGGAATGTATCGTACATGCAGTGAGCATTGCCACCTTTACAGTATTACCTTCTTCATCTATTTTTATTCTGGATAGGGCATCTGCTACGATAATTCCTTTCCGGGGGTGTGCTTTGATTACCAAATTATACTCTTGTAACTTGAGTGCCCATCTTATTAACCTTGGGGATAAGGTTTTTTCCTGAGTACAGTCTAATCTAGTTACCGCCCGCATGATCAGAATACACTGTTACTGGCGCCCTTCCAAAATAGACTCGGAACTTTTGCACTGCCTAACAGAACTAACTGCAAGTGCCTCTCTCTCAGTCGCGGAATAATTTCTTTGTGTTTGATTTAAAGTTCTACTAAAAAATGCCACGGGCTGCTGATTTTGCGAAAGTACAGCTCCTACCGCATAATCCGAAGCATCCGCTGAAATTTCTAAATTCTCATCGTTCTCAGGAAATTTCAAAACAGGGGCTTGCGTTAATGCTTGCTTTAATTTTTCAAAAGCACTATTGGCTTCGGCCGTCCACGAGAATCTTGCCTTTTTCCTTTTTAATTTTAACAATGGTTCAGCAATAGCTGCAAAATCTTTTATAAAGGACCTATAATATGAACAAAGTCCTAGAAAGGAAGAGAGCTTCTTCGCCGTATTTGGCGGCGGATACTTTTGCACAGCGATTATTTTTGATTCGTCTGTCTCGATTCCTTTCTGAGATATTTTGTAACCTAAGTATTTTAATTCAGGGGCTGCAAATTTGCACTTTTCGACATTAACTTTTAGACCGGCCTCATTTAATAACGAAAACACGTGTCTTAAATCCTGTACATGTTGGTCCAGATTATCACTAGTAATAATGATATCGTCTAAATAGATAAATGTGGTCTTTCCTAGAACAGGCCTTAGCACAATGTCCATACATCGCTGAAATGTTGCCGGAGCCCCTGAAAGGCCAAACGGCATACGCAAGAATGCATAAGTGCCAGACTTGGTTATAAAAGCAGTCTTAGGCACATCTTCTGGTTTAACTCCTATTTGAAAATAACCAGTCGTTAAGTCTAACGTAGTCATGTATTTCGTAGAAGTTTATGTTCCTTAAAATTTCTTCAATAATAGGTAACGGATATACCGGATATTTAGTCATGGAGTTTAATTTACGATAGTCAATTGCAAAACGCCACCTTTTCGGATGTGTTACGTGATAGTCATTATTTTTCTTACATAACACAACCGGGCTAGCATAACTACTTGAGATGGGCGTTATGAACTTTTTACGTAACATATCTCGAATGTGCCACTCTATAATTTTTTCTTTATTTTTTCGTACCGATACGGCTTGTGGCGAACTGGCAGTGAATCTCCTATGTCGATACTATGGTTAGTAACTTGAGTGAATCCGGGAATATCACTAAATAACGAAGCAAATTCACTTACCACTTGTCGAATTTTTTGTTGCTCTCCCTTAGGCAGGTGGTTGAGGTTTAATGTGAGTGGTTCTCTTTTTTCTTCCCGAACTGGTTGCATGGTCAGCTTAAGGGACGCTTGGTTGAAATCCAGCGTTGCTTCTGCCTCTGAAAGAAAATCTATTCCTAGAATCACATGTGCTTGTAGATTTTTTACTATAAAAAACATGATCTTTACTTGCTCGTCCTTAATGCGAATATATAATGGTATTTTACCTATGCATTTGCATCTTTCTCCCTGCGCAGCTAACACTGTCGTATTATCCGAATTATATATTCTGTATCTACGGAAATACTTCCTAAAAAATCTTCTGCCACACAGGAACACTGCGCGCCTGTATCCAGGAGTGCGGTGGCTGGGATGTTGTTCACCAAAACTTCAATCTTTGGAAGAGTCAAATTTTTCACAATAACTGTATTTAACTTGAAGGAAGAGGGGTTTTCTTGGCCATCGGATTTCCGCACCCTCCCGTCAGCAGAAATCCGTTTTAGTTTAAATTTTCTTTCTTCCTTTCCATGCCTTCCTTCTTTTTCCGCTGGCCTTCAGACTTTTTTTCTGGCTTACTACTGAACTGTCGACGTTCGCCAGTTGTTTTTGGATACTCAGGTTTCCTTGCTCACTGATTCGATTTGCTTCTGTAGCCGTTTTCTTGCCTTTGCTGTAGTCTTGGCGCACAAAATTGGCTTCGTTGCTCATACTGGCGTCTTCTTTCAATGTCCGCCGTTCTTCTACTTTCAAACTGGATTGCTAGCTCAAATAACTTTTCCAGTGTAGTCGGATTCCTTAATTCAATAGTCTTGTACTTGGGGAAGTAACCTTGGCAAAATCCCTTGGATTATCCCAGGATCCGGACGGCTTCCACACAAGAGTTTAAGACGTGAATGTTTCTTAAAATAAAGCTTGAGAGATTTACAATTCGTTGCTGGTATATGCTGAAGAGTTCCGCTTCTAATTTTGAACAATTTCTTACGACAGGGAAGGCTTTTACTAAGGCAGTTTTAAAATTTTCGTAAGTATAGGTGGGACTTCCCGCTTGACCCAAGAGGTTTCTGCTTATACATTTGAACCAATTAAGCGCTTGGCCCCTCAAAGCGCTGGTAGCTAAGGTGACTTTCTGGAATTCATGGACTGGATACAGCATGAAGTGGTCATCCAGTTTTTCCAAAAAACTGGTTACCGGTGAGTTTCCATTGAATGTTGCTTCTGGTTTCATCGATGCGCGCATGGTCTGTACGATGTACCCAAATCCTTCCAGGGCGGCAGCTGGCATTTCTGGATTCTGAGCCGCTTTCTGCAGGCACCACAGGTTCTTCTTGAAACTCGGCCATGGTTATTCTTCTTTGTCGCACGCCACTATCAGGACTTGTATTCCTCTTCACTTGCTTTGGAAACATGAACTGTCCTGACTCGGAACAGGGAGCTTACTCCAGCTATTGTGAAGTAGACAATACACACAGGAAGGGTATACGAAACCCTTTATTTTTTCTATCTTTACAGAGATTTCCGGAACTTCGGAATACAGAGACAAACCACTTGTGGTCCGAACGTAAGATATAAAACTACTAACTAAAACTCTAACTGAAACTAACTTTGGATTAATATACAAGAGCCTAACTTTAAGATTGGCCGTTATTTAACAAAATCCGTATGTAGTACAGAGAGCTGCTAAAACTACGATACGTTTGAACTTATCAAGAGGACTAAACCTCTGGCCTTGAAGGCAACCAGGAACCGAGTAAAACTACTATGGCAAGCGGCTTGCAATAACTCTTTCCTCTCTCTTGCTTGGCAAAAAGCCACAACTTAAGTACTTGGCGTTAGCAAGACAAATTTGCATAAATAAGTTAAAGCTTTTAATTCTGGCCGGAAGTAAAAAATAAGAAGTGATAGTAAAGATTTAAGACAAAATAAACGTTAGTAAAACTTAGGATCCTTAGAACTTTATTATTTACAATTATGGAATGGAGGGCCGGGGGCGGCACTGGCGAGATAGCTGGTCTCAAATCGCACGTGGGCCCCGAAGCAAAATTATTCTGAATATATGTTATAATATAGTATGTTTCGTCCTACTGCTCCTCTTGCTGCTCCCTCTCTTGTTTCTCCTCTTCCTTCTGTTCCTCTTTTTGTTGCTCCTCTTCCTGCTTCTCCTAATGCTGCTCCTCCTCATGCTGCTCCTCCACTTGCTGCTTCTCCTCATGCTGTTCCTCCTCATGCTGTTCCTCCTCATGCTGTTCCTCATGCTGCTCTTCCTCTTACTGCTCCTCCTCTTGCTGCTCCTCCTCTTGGCACAGGAGGAGGAGCAGAAAGAGGAGCAGCATGAGGAGGAGAAGCAGAAAGAGGAAAAGCAGCAAAAAGAGGAGCAGCAGCATAAGGAGAAGCAGCAGGAGGAACAGCAAAAAGAGGAGGAGCAGCAGGAAAAGGAGCTGCAGGAAGAAGAGGAGCAGCAAGAAGAGGTGCAAGAGGAGGAGCAGAAAGAGGAGGAGCAGCAAGAGGAGACAAGAGGAGGAGGAGCAGCAACAAGAGAAGCAGCAAAAGGAGGAGCAGCAAAAAGAGGAGCAACAAGAGAAGGAACCGCAAAGTACATATTTACAAAAAGCAGAAAATGCATCAAGGAGATTAGTTTTCATATTAATAACATTTGCATCCAAATTTTACTCATTTTGAAGAATATTTCTCACCTCGTGAAGATCATTTCCTTTCATCACCCTATGATAATCCCTTCAACACAGAGTTGAAAAATAGATATGCCTTCAACAAGGAATAAAACTTCAATATACTTTAGGGAGATATGGTGGTACTGTTTTGCTATCAGGACCAGATAAAGAAATGCATATATGTATGGATGGATGTGTTCACGTATGCATGTATGTATATATAAGTATGAATGTGTGCGTATATATACAGTACAAAGTCCGAAATCCGGACGTCCATTATCCGCAATGATCTAAAATCCGGACCTCAAAACCACCAAAACCGTTTTTCTCGTAGGCTTTACGCATGCGCATTTGATTCCCTCTCCGCGCATAATAAAACATCTGGAAAGTCCCGATTCTTAATTTCACTTCGACACTTAATAAAATACCTCGTTATTAAAGAAACAATCATTTTAGCATAAATTTGTACGATCACTAATTTGGCTCCGTTGCTGTGTATCTGCTTTGGCACACTTCTCAAACCAAAACATTCCACATCGATACATCGTTGATCTGACGCCAACCTGACGAATCATTATTTATTAAGCTTTCCTTTCATCACCGCATGTTTATATCAAAACATGACAACTTGAGTAATGACTCATGTAGCGATGCCTAAACAATATTTTTATCTTAGTAATTGAGTAATAAAGGAGTATGATAACCTTTTATGTTGACATTATGCTTGGCGATGATTACAGATTTAAGTTAAATGCGTTAAAAAATGTTGACGAGGAAAATTTACCAAAAATTTCTCTCCATATGCTAAAAATAGATTTTGTTGATGATACTTATAAACCCAAAGATTAAATTTAAGGCTATTTGAATTAAGAATAACTGATGTGTTATTCGCATAAACCCAGAAACAGCGCCAGGGCACGTATGGCCGCACCGAATCGCAGAATTTAGGACTCACAGAGACTGCATCAGGCGGTAAGATATCTAGGGCCGGCACTCAATAAGACTTAAGTATATGTGGGAATTTATTTATTCAGAACTCTGATAAGCCTTACGCATGTGCAAGAAATAGACATAAGTATAATAATATTTAACTAAACAAATACATTTCAGGCTTAATTATTTCAATGCATGATAGAAGCAAGGTAAAATTTAACGAAACAACTTTGTCGGTAGTCGCCAAGCTCATGATGCATAGCCAAATATGTATAGTTAAATTTGATGATGATAGCCGCTAATTTTAAAGATTGTCGGATATCGCAAAACAAAGATGAAATTTTCCATTTAACAGATTTTGTACAGACATGTGGAGAAGCGGTAAATGATATAAAAGAAATCTTTCATTGTGATGACAATGCTTCTCGATATTCAATCAATTAATGAATGGTGAAATCTTTAGTATGGTTCTAGATCCAGAAAATACGCTACCGATAATGAAGAAAGGGACAGAGGAGTTACTGAAAACGAGAAAATTCCGACAGACAAGTCAGTCGGAATTCTCAGAACACTTACAGGAAGTATTATCACAAAAAAACGAAGCAACTTAAACAACTTACACGGAAAGAAATGTTTAATAAGGTAAACAAATAAATATTAAGCTTTCTTCTGTTTGTAAATTTTGATACCCTTTAGATCATAAATACTTCCTTATTTCATAAATCACGATTTCATATTTTTAATTTTATAATTTCTACATGCCATCTTACTAGATTTAAACTTATGCTCTAATATCCGGAAAAATCGCAAATCCGGAATCGTCAAAGTCCTGACGAGTCTGGATTTCGGACTTTGTACTGTATATACACATACACACATGCATACATTTCTGAACTGGTCCCGAAAACATAACAGTACCGATACATTTTGTGACATAACATCAATCAGATGGTAGGTAAAATTCAATCATCTTAGCTTTTCTAAATCCATTCATTAAAAATTGCTATCACTATCTACACCTGACATTAATGTTTCATAATTTCATATTCATTAAGAAAAAAATGAAATATATTACGGCATTCTGATCATAATAAATGGCACAATGATTATAGCAAAAGATTAAGCAATTTCCCATGTTTCTGTACAGTACCGATGGGATTCTGACAGAAGTATTTTCAGAATTAAACAGTTTCAGCATATTCATGAAAAACGAAACTCAGTTTTACATCTTATTTTAATAGCGTTAAATCAATATGAATTTATATTTGTAAATCAAAATTTCCTCACACTATTGCAAAAAATAATATGAAATGTTGATTTTGAAATATACAGATAATAAAATTTGAGAACGTGTTGTAATTTTATTTATTACATTTACAGCAGGAAATAAATGTCCTTTCGAAGAATACCGAAAATGGAAGTTCTCACATGTTTTATCAAACTTTTATAAATGAATTTAACAGAACGATTATCATAAGATACTTACTAACAAACAATTACTACAGCACCATCGGATATCGTAACCAGTTAACTGTGGCGCTCTCGTTTAAGAGTGCGCACGGTTTTGTGTCACCAGAATCGAGCCATGACTAGTAAATTCGTCAATCACAAAGTTGCGCTGGTAAGATATTGGATGAAAAAGATGGGTTTATTTTATAAAATTGAGAATTTTATTACTATTTACTTATTTGGTTAACATAAAAATATATTACATACATATTAAACTAAAGACGCAATAAATTAAATTAAATATTCTACATATAAAAGTAAGAACTTACATTCCTGCTGTGGAGTGATATTCAGCAAAACAGGGTACTATACACAATGGGACTTTGCAAATCGAACACCTGATCTTAAGTTTGAAGCAAGGTAAACACCTTCGCGTAGGGTTGTTTTTTTCGATGTTCCGGGTATATAATCCGGAACATGATTCCCGCCTAATTCGCTTACATTGGGTCTAAATGGCCGAGTTTGTGTCGATTTATTTCTTTCAACTGGATACTTCGCAAAAGTGTCTTCAATAAATTTTTGAGCAAAATGTTGATATGCGATAAAGTTCCATTATTTTTTATATAATATGAATGCATTCAGACACATAATGTTTAAGAAATGGAGAAATATCTTTTTGTAGTACTTTTTGAGTCGTTTTCTTGCTGCGGAGCACGCTATAATTCCATCGCTCATATCCACTCCACCCATTTTTTTATTATAATCAATCACTAGCTCCGGTTTCTTTGTTATTATTTTTCTTTTCTCTGTTCTTTTTATGTTGTCATTATGTACTTACTAAATAAATCTCCCTCTTATCTTTCCATTTCATTATACGCATGATGAGTATACTCGTCAATACATAAAATCGTGCCGCTTCTCCATGACGAGTATACTCGTCAATCACAGTTAACTGGTTAACACCAAGTCTTCCATGTCTGTTTATCTCACATGGTCATAAGTTAACGGCCCACCAGCGGCCGATCGGTAACGTCGCTGAACACTGGTAGTTCGGTCCAAGGTTCGAATCTCGCGAACGGGCTGGCTGCATGGGCGTTTTCGTGGTTTTCCCCATGTGTAACGTGTATACGAGCCAGTTTCCCTTAGAAAGTCCTCCCCGAAGGCATCCCTCTCTTAAGGCAGATAGACCTCGAGTGCTTTGCCGTAATCTAATACAGTCAAAAGTCGTTAATCCGGACTCGTCGGGACTTCGGCGATTCCGGATTATCAATTTTTCCGGATTATAGATCATGAGTTGAAATCTGGTAAGATGGCATGCAGAAATTATAAAATTCAAAATATGAAACCGTAATTTATGAAATAAAGAACAATTATGATCTAAAGGGTATCAAAATTTACACACACACAAAAAAGCTTAATATTTATTTGTTTACTTTATTAAACATTTCTTTCAATGTAAGTTGTTTAAGTTGCTTTGTTTTATTTGCTAATACTTTCTCTTTAATTCTATGAACAGACATAATTTCTTGTTCAGTTACAAAGTTCCGCTGTTCAAGTCCTGTAATTGCTGTGCCGAGAATACCGACTAACTTGTCAATCGAAATTTTTTCGTTTTCACTAACCTCTCTGTCACTTTCTTCATGCCTTTATCCATTTTTTGCAGCAATTCCATTTTTTGTTTGATGGACATCGAAACATACTTTTGCTTTGTAGATCCTTTGGGAGCTCCAGCATCGGAAATTCTATTTGACATAATCGAAAGTTCAAGCTTACTTTTATAAAATTGCTCTAACAGTCTGCAAAAAATAATAAGCCGGATCCAATTCGAAGATTAAGGAACAACGCAATCTGCAACATTAACTGAAATAGATAATTAGATAATTTCAGCTTATACCATCCGTTATGCATTAAACGCCCATGCGTAAACGTATTATGCGCTTGCACACACGCATATGTGCAGCCGTAAAGGTCTTACACGCATGCGTCAACGCGACGCATGCGCAGAGAGTTTGTAGCTTTGAGGTGCGGATTATAGATCTTTCCGAATTATGGGTGTCTGAATTAACGACTTTTGACTGTAAAACCAAACCATATGTTAACATTTGCCATAATTCAACACAAAGCATGATGAGTAGCCAAATATTGCAACCTAGCCCAAAAGTAGTCACGTGACGGTATACATTTCAGTACACAGTTGGCGTTTGTCTGTATTTAATTGTGGCGGACTAGTCAGTCTGACGACTCTTCTATTTCGTGGTGCCAATAGTCTTCATAATAACTATACCTTCCTTTACACTATTAGGAATTTCATTATGCAGTTTTCATGTTAAAACCATCTCAATGAAAATCCGAAAATAAAATATTTATATTTCATGTTTTAATGCAAAATTTAATGTTTGTTAAAGTATGGTTACAACATGCAAGATATGTTGTTTTCCTGGAATAAATAATAAGCAAACAAAAAGAATATGGGATTTGCAATTGCAAGACAAATTGAACAAAGGACTCGTGCAAACATCGTACATTTCATCAAGCGTAATGCCTCCGTGAAGAAATCAAACACTTCACACTACTGTGATACCTTTTTGCCATATGACCAGGCTTAAGATAAACAAGGCAGCATCTTTT